AGAGGTCCCAGCACGGCTACGAGGAGTCGCTCTCCAAGTTCAAAGGTCAGCCCCGACGAGTGGCGAGCCCCCTCTGGGGGCCGGAGGGGGAGGAGGGGCGCCGGTCCAGCAGCTCCCAGGCCTCCTGGGGCTGCTGGGCGATGTTCGTCGAGGCTCACGGTAGGTGGACACCCGGATGAGGTGTGCAGTCTTGCTCGGGGTGCAGTGCTCCAGAGGGAGGTCCTTGAAGGGGAAAGTGAACTTCGCCATCCTGGGGGGTTTTCATGTTTACGTGTATACATGTACACGTACAGTTTTTTTTTTATTTGCTGTTTTTATTAGAACGAAATAAAATTCTTTTTCTCTCGATCTGTCCTTGACGCATCTTTATGAAGACCCCCCCCCCTGTTAATCGGGTGCTCGCGCATGGTGTGTGACCGAAGGATTTTTCACTAATTCGATTAACCCTCCCCCTCCCCCTTCGTAGCCAAGGACAAGGAGATGCTCCACGAGCTCGCTCGATCTCCCAATTGGCCTCTCGAATACGCGCCGGGTCTTTTAACTGGGAAGAAAAAAAAGTTGCGGCAATTTCCTGCCCATTAAGGGGGTTAATAGAGCGGGCCCCGTTTCTCCGTTTGTACCGAGGCCCGCGCCCGGTAACGAGCCTTCCTTTCTTCGGAGGACTCGCCGATCGCGCGTTTCATATAAAGGATAAATAAATAAATCCTTACCTCGCCGCCCGAAAGCCCCGCCGAGTTTCGACCCCAATCTACCTCGACAAATTGTCTCTCTGTGCTTCTACTTCGCCTAGAAGAAGAAAAAAAAAATACTAACTCGGTGTAATTAAGATATCTCGCTCTAATATGTACTTGGCTCGAAGCTCTACCGTGTCTCTCGATCACCACGAGTTTTTTCCCACTTGAATTTCGAGTCATACTGATTCACCTCGGAATCGCGGGATTCTGAGTGGACTCGTCCGTTTCGAATTAATATTTCGTCTCCTTAAAAATAGAAAGAAATTGAATCGGTTCAATCGTCACTTCCAGGAGAGAGTATTGGTAAATATTTCTCCGTCCACGTTGTGATGTTTTTTTTTTAAATTTTTTATTTGCGTCGAGACCTCCCCATCGATCTCTATTTGGCTCGAGAAAACGACGTAATTAGAATCGCTATGTCGCGACAATTGTCTCGATTCGCCCTCCCCCTGATCCCCCAACCCCGATTAATCGGGAACGGGTGCAATTGAACCAATTAGCGGGGCGCGGTACTTGGACGACTGCCAGTTAAAAAATGCGATCGATTCGGCGCGTGACTCGCTCGAGGACGAAAATCCTAGGTCGTCCTGGAGCGAGGAGGTGCGGAAGGACTCTTTTGATCAATCGAGCCGAAGGAGGGGGGGAAAGGACTCCAGAGCATGCGCATCCCCTGCAACTGCATCAGAGTGTGCCACCTAACCAGCGCCTGTCTAGTGTTTAAGGTCGATAAGGCTGATAAGGTTCTCGAAGCCTCCCATAGCCTGATTCCTTGGTGATGACGTCGATGAAGAGGAAATAAATAAATATATATATATGTATGTATGGATGAGGAAATCTCATCGGTGAAAATATTTCTATGAGAAATATTCGACGAAACGTATTCTGGTCGAATTTCTCTGCAAATGAAATATGGTTACATGGACCCGATTTGCCATTTACTTGTTATCTTTTGCATTTGCATGTTGTAATGGATGAAATGCCTCGGTCAATTATTCCTGGCCGATTAGAGTATCGTGACTGAGATGAGAGACGCTGAATTAATTTTTCTGGATTTATCCCGTATGTCTGGGTTATTGTAACGAGATATTTTCGGCGACTTGGGAGAATTAATAACCGAATTGTTTTAGCTGATGAGAACGAGTTTGAAAGGGCGGGGGATAATTCGGATCATTTTATCGGGAGGTTCTTTTTTTTTTGTTTTCGAAATCGATTTAATGAGGATGTACGATTTTGTTCAATGAACCGAACTTTTTTTTTTTCTCTTGAAAGGAGAGGAATTTGTCAATGGGCGACTCGCTCGCGCGAGTACTGCTGCTCTGTCGCACCTCCTCCTGTGAGGACTTCACTTACGTAAGAGGACATCGCGTATCCTTGGCTTGACTATCTCTCTTCAACTCTTTTTCTCTGTCTTCTCTTCTCAACCTCGGCGCCGCTCGATTCCTACTCGGCGCGTCCACTCTGGCTTCGAATTCTTGGAGGACCGTGCACTGTTGAAGATGAGGAAGTACAAGAAAAAAGATGAGGAAGTGTAAGAGAAAGATGAGGAAGTACAAGAAAAAAAATGAAGTACGAGAAAAAGATGAAGTACAAGAAAAAAAAAAAGTAAAGTACAAGAAAAAGGTGAAGTGCAAGAAAAATTAAATAGCCGGTCGGACCGCTCGATTTCCGGAGTCGCGACGGAAGTGGCGATCCGGTGAGCAAGCATGCGCAATTAGAATCGGCGTCGGTGCTACGTCGAGTGGCGCCCCACTCGAAATGCCTGCTCGAAATCAGCGGAACGATTTGGCGAAAACTCGAGAGTCGATAAGAGATGAAATACCGTCGAGCTCTCTCTCCTGGAGGAGCACAGACGAACCGTCGGCCGTTCCCACAACTCGTCAGCGGTATCTGTAGGCTATAATTTAAAAAAAAAAATCAGATAGTCGGAAAAACTGTAATAAATTCATGAAACACTTACCAGTAGTTCCGCCCACATGCTCCACCCTAAATTAAAATACCCTCTTGGGCGTACTCGTATCGTAATTATATTATACTCTTTTTACGAACCGATTAGGAAAATTTCAGTCCATTTAATTTGTCTCGAGTTTGATGTTTATTTAAATTGTATCTTATTTACTTAATTCTTTTATTAATAAAATAATAATTAAAATAATAAAAGGTTATTTAAATTCGGGGATATATTTTTGCGTATATTGGGTTGCGATAATTGCAAAGAAGGATGGTAAGGGATATTCCAGCCGATCGAGGGTTCGATTCAAGGAAATGCGCGATTCCGATGAAGTAGATGCATCCCCTCGGGTTAGATCGGTATTGGCGTCGGTTTCGGGGATTCCTTCGAGCCTATTCACGCTGGAAGAGCGTCGCGTCCCGGAGTGGACGCGCGCCAGTGTATTCGAGGGAGCGATAATGGCCGTGAGAGAGAGGGGAAGAGTGGAGCCCCCTGAGGAGGGAGGGAGAGAGACGCGAGTTCACGGACCTCTCGACGGCACTTGAACTCCCGCGAGAGAAGACCGGACAGAAACCGCATGTACGTTTTTCTTTGTTTCTTCTCTCTTTTATTTTTTTTTTCGTTTTTTCCTCTCTTTTCCGAAAATGAAGTCTGGGAATGCACTCGTGTTCCCCCCCCCGGAAGGGGGTTCCTTACGAATGGGCGCGAAAGGACGACTGAGGTGGGCGAAATAGACAAAATGGGCGAGACAAACGAAATGGATGAAATGGGCAAAGTGGGCGAATTGAACGAAATGGGTGAAACAAGCAATGCGGACGAAATGAGTAAAACGAGTGAGGTGGACGAAATGAGCAAGGTGGGCGAAATTAACGAAATCGGTGAAACAAGCAATATGGACGAAATGAACAAAATAGACGAAATTGACGAAATGAGCAAAACAAACGAGATGAACGAAATGCACAAAATGAACGAAATGGCCGAAATGGACAAGGTAGGCGAATTGAACGAAATGGGTGAAACAAGCAATATGGACGAAATGAACAAAATAGACGAAATTGACGAAATGGGCAAAACAAACGAGATGAACGAAATAGCCGAAATGGACAAGGTGGGCGAATTGAACAAAATTGGTGAAACAAGCAATATGGGCGAAATGAACGAAATGGGCAAAACAAGCGAAATTGACAAAATGAACGAAATGGACAAAATGGACGAAATGGGTGAGGTGGGCGAAATGAACGAAATGGGTGAAACAAACAATGTGGACAAAATGAACAAAATGGACAAAATTGACGAAATGTGCAAAACAAGCGAGATGGACGAAATGCACAAAATGGCCGAAATGGGCAAGGTGGGCGAAATTAACGAAATGGGACAAACAAGCAATATGGAAGATCTGAACGAAATTGGTGAAACAAGCAATATGGAAGAATTGAACGAAATTGGTGAAACAACCAATATGGACAAAATGAACAAAATGGACGAAATTGATGAAATGAGCAAAACAAGCGAGGTGGACGAAACTAAAAAAAATGAAAGAAACGGACAAACTGGGCAAAATGAACGAAATGGGAAAAGTGGGCGACACGGGTGCCCTAGCGGGCGATTTTTCGAGGCTCGTCGTTGGGCGCCTCCACTTAAGATTCCGATCTCGGGCCGAGGTGACGTCACTTATACAACGATTTCGAGGGGACTCCCGCCCAAAGGGTTTTGCGAAATCGGAACGAGTGCTCTCGAAAGAGCGAACGAACTCTCCTCCGCCCACTCTCGGCTGTCCTGACGTAATCGAGAACTTACCGCGGGCCCAATTCGGTCGTTCCGAGGAGTCGACTCGAGGCTCATCCGCCGACGCGGTTCGTGTCGATAATCGATCTAAATGACCTAATCGAGTAATGGATCGATATATCCGTCATAGACGGAAAACGCGCTCCTCGGGCGACATTCCGCCATAGCGAGCCGTTCCGATGATCGGGCGTAATTACCTAATCGAGTTATATGGCGGGTACTCTCGTAACGTTAAATCGTTACGACGAGTTCCCGCAGACCCGTCCATACGAATCGAATTATCGCGGATAATAAAACCTCGATTTAAGGGTACAGATTTCAATTCGACGCGATTTGTCGGCCACAATCGACGAAACGCCCCTCGGGGCGACTCGTCGACCCTCGTTGGAAATCGATTTTATCGATTGTCTTAGGTCGATCGAATCGGCCAGATGTCTAGGGGATGTGTTACAACGCACTCGATGACTTGGCGAGGATGTCTAGGTCTTGCAACGATCATTGTTACTGATTCGCCCCTTTTTCTCTGCTTACAGACGAACGAGACGCCATCCAGAAGAAGACCTTCACGAAGTGGGTGAACAAGCACCTGAAGAAGGTGAGCGACTTTCATTGAAGAGTCGAGGAGCAGGAACTCGAGATGGCCGCGAGATTTGTCGTAGGGTTTAGTATGATAGGGCTCGGCTCGAGGTATCCGCTTAACGTAATCGGGTTGCGAGATGGAGACGCTAGGCGTGCCCGGGAAGAAAGGTGGAAGGTTGGAATGGAAGGTGGGACGAGGAGGCGAACTTCTTAGAGTTCGGCCCGACCTTCGGAGCCTTTAAACGTCGCGGTTTCGCCGTTTCCCGGGGCTTCTGCATATTCATCGAGCCGCGTTTAATGGCTTTTGGTAAACATCCGTGACATTAGACGCCGGCATCCTAACCGGACGATTTGTCGTAGCGTGGGCGTCGGCGCCGTAAGAAGAAAAGGAGAGGCATCCCCCGAAAAAGAAAACCTCGATTTCTAACAAAATCATTCGGAGAAGAATTTCACGGACGATTGACCTCTCAGTGGCCACTTTCATATCACCTTAAGCCCTCGTATGCGCATTTGGTGTGAGGCTCTACCGAGTTGCCCTGTTCGAAACGTTGGAAAGTCTCGCCCTGGACGTCCTGGCTTTCCGATTTCGAAGACTTGTACTTCAAAGTCCGATTTCGAAGACTCGTACTTCGAAGTCCGATTTCGAAGACTCGTACTTCGAAGTCCGATTTCGAAGACTCTTTCAGTGGCGGACATGAATGCCTCCCCTGCAGATACGGCATCGCCTGTGCAGGATGGGAGGGCATTGATGTCTCCCAGTGTACATTGGCGGGCATGAATGCCTCCCCTGCAGATACGGCATCGCCTGTGCAGGATGGGAGGGCATTGATGTCTCCCAGTGTACTTTGAAGTCCGATCTCGAGGGCTCGTACTTCAAAGTCCGATTTCGAAGACTCGTACTTCGAAGTCCGATTTCGAAGACTTACAGTGGCGGACATGAATGCCTCCCCTGCACATACGGCATCGCCTGTGCAGGATGGGAGGGCATTGACGTCTCCCAGTGTACTTTGAAGTTCGATCTCGAGGGCTCGTACTTCAAAGTCCGATTTCGAAGACTCGTACTTCGAAGTTCAATTTCGAAGACTCTTACAGTGGCGGACATGAATGCCTCCCCTGCAGATACGGCATCGCCTGTGCAGGATGAGAGGGCATCGATGTCTCTCAGTGTACAATGGCGGACATGAATGCCTCCCCTGCAGATACGGCATCGCCTGTGTAGGATGGGAGGGCATTGATGTCTCCCAGAGTACTTCGAAGTCCGATCTCGAGGGCTCGTACTTCAAAGTCGACGCTTTCCAGAGTTCGGGGGGGGTCCTCGAGCTCCAGGGGAAAGGTTGGCCGGGGGGAAAGGAGGGATCGGAGAAACCGCTCTATGATTTATTTATGAGCTCAGCGCCGGGTAAACGATACGGCTATGGATTTCAGAACGACCACCGTCGGATCGCGGAATCTCGCGGACCCGATATCGACTCTGGACAGGTTTATGACTTAATTCGAGATCGACTCGGTCTCGTTACTTCCCGTAAGATCGAGTCGCGCCCGTTCGAGACCTCGGAATCCGATCCCCCCTCTTTCCCCCCGATAAATCGCCTCGCCTTTGATCGGCCCTTCGATCGTCTCTCGATCGTCCATTAGATCATCCTCTCGAGCGTCCTTCCGATCCTTTCCATCTAGCCGATAACGATTGCGGAAACGCGGGAAAGGGAAAACGCGCCGAGACGCGGCGACGCCGCGTCCACCGGGCCTCGATCGATCGAGATCGATGCCGATCGCCGTCGGGCTCGCGTGGGTAGATCACGTTGCACAAGTCGAGTAGGAAGCCGGTCGTAGGTAACGCCTTGCGTATCGACGCGCAATGCTCGCTCGCTCTTGCGTCGCCAGAAGAGCGGAAACTGGGCCGCGACTAGTTTTCAGTATGACATGTTTTTTTTTCCCTTCCTTTTTTTTCTCAGGGCAAAAACCTGAATTCTCATATTCGCTTTCTGGCAAATTCTCCGATACATGGTTCTTTTCATTTATTTATTCTTTATTTATTTTTTTTTTTTGTAATTTTTGTCATCTTCGAAGTCGTAAGAAATTTCCTACTTTTCATTTATTTTATTATTAATTTGAATTCCCCGGAAGCGATGATTTCGCGGGCTTGCAAAGAAGGCTTCTCGGGACGTTCCTTGAAATCAAAGGGAACGATTAACGAATGGTCTCTCTCTCTGCTTGCATGCACCGAGAATGCACCGCGGTGCATCTAGACGCGACGTCTCGCTTTTTACGGTGGGATGCGCGCAGATCCGAAGGACGCGACGTAAGATCGATGGAAATCGAAACGCGGCTCGATATTCCATTACGCCCGAGGTCGAGCTCGTTCCTTGCTAACGTCGAAGTTCAGGCGTCGCGACGGAAATCGTCCCCACTACAGTGCCAACTTAGATTTGACTTGCTGTAAAATTGGCGCCACTCCCTGAAGGAACATAACCCCCAACCGTGACGACTTGGAGATAAAGCCACGAATGGAATTGTTATCACACCGACCCTGTGGGTCGTACCCCTTTCAGGGACGCCAATCATCTCCTTTGGTAACGTCGAACCATTTTTTTTTTTTTCATTTTGGAGGAATCTCTCCATTCGAGCCCCGAAAAGGCTAGGATATCGGAAAAGAGGAAGGAAAAAGGACCTTCGAGTCGGCCAAAGGTGGACGCGCTTGGCGCTCCTGGACAATGATAGCGAATCTGATACGGCCCGGCCTTGATCATTGATGAAAAAAAAAAAAATTATAGAAATCGTCCCCACTACTTTATCAACTTAAATTTGACTTGCTGTAAAATTGGCGCCACTCCCTGAAGGAACATAATCCCCAACCGTGACGACTTGAAGATAAAGCCACGAGTGGAATTGTTATCACACCCCACCCTGTGGGTCGTACCCCTTTCAGGGACGCCAATCATCTCTTTTGGTAACGTCGAACTAAATTTTATTTCTTTTTGGAGGAATCTCTCCATTCGAGCCCCGAAAAGCCTAGGAAATCGGAAAAGAGGAAGGTCGAGTCGGCCAAAGGTGGACGCGCTTGGCGCTCCTGGACAATGAGAGCGAACCTGATACGGCCCGGCCTTGGGCCGAGCCCCAGAGGGCTCGTTCTCCGGAACGCGCCTCCTTGTCTTACCTTACGCCTCGTGGAGACGCAAGGTCGCCACGGGATCGGCCGAAATGAAGAAACCAGGAGGATTACGAGCGGGCAGGTGGGGCCGAGCTGTCGGGAAGACCGCTCCCCGGTCGATTTCAGGTGGGATGGATATGTATATCCAAAGGGGGCGATCCTTTTTAAGGAGCGCCGCGGCATCGACTGCTTCCCGAAGGGGACGCGAGCGTGAAATCGACGCCCAGGGCGCCGTCTTTCCGGGTCTGGGTCGAAACGTGATCGATCCTCGCCGACTCGAAAGGAAGGTCGAGTCTCTCCCGGGACATCTCGAAGGATGTCACATCCTTCAGGTTCTTTTCCTAGGCAGGGGACTCCTTGACCCTTTGAGCGCTAAACTCTTTCGACGTATGGGCGAATTTCATCAGGGCGGGCAAGCGATATTCGACCAAACGTCTGGCGTCTCTTATGCGTCTAAAGGGCTAACAAGGGTTATTGCATTTCTTTTTAATATTAAATCTTTCGTCGGATATTCCAGTCTCACTTTCGGGACTAACCTGAACTCCTTACGTCCCAGGTTTTCGTATCGCCTTAACGAGGATCCCTCCTTTTCTCCGTTTTTCTTTCTTTAAATCCCACCCCCTGGGTGACTCTAATTTCGACTCGGCTCGAGATATCCTCGCGACCTCCTCAAGGAATAAGTACACCGTTTCGTGGAGTTTTCTCGGCCTGTTCTTTAAAATACCTTCCCTAGTCCTTGGAAACTAACCATTTTCTAGGCGGCACCTCCGAGGTAATCCTCCTTCGGGGAAGTTGACGCACCTCCGGATTCCTTGAAACTAATCATTTTTAAGGCGAATCCTCCGAGATATGGCGCACTTCCGCTCGAGTCGAGTTTTTTTAGGTCTAAATTGTTTGGCTCGACTTCCTCTCTTCCGAGGGCTCTCTTCTGGGTCCTCCAGCCGGCTGCGGATGTTTGTTTATGCGTCGATTCCGCGCCGCGGGTTCCGAGAATTCCGCGGCTCCTTTTCTTTGTCGCTTCGGGGCCCGACTACGGTTCGCCTTTTTAAGGGCGGGAAACGGGAGAGAAATTCGCGCTCTATTTTCGGACCCTGGGCGGCACCGGAAGCGAGTTCTCCCTCGACGGGCGTTTCCCACGAGAGTAGAAGGGTTCGGCCTGGCCGTAATTCACGTCCAGGGTTTCTGCGTTTACCGTTGCGTAGGTGCACGCAGCTGCGATCCGCGTCCTCTATGAATTACACTTCTAAAGGCTAATTCAGTATTAGGGGTGTAGTGTATAGTAAGGAAAATTCCTGAAATAATTTGGATTAAAAGACATAAACCTAGAATAGATCCTATATTCCATCAGATTGAGATATTTGAAGGGGAAGGTAGAGTTAATATTGGATTTTTCTTTAAGATTGATTTATTTATAATTTTTTTTTATTTGTCGGAGTGGTTTGTTGAAATGAATACATATTTTTACTACAATGACTATATTTAAGAATAGATAAGAGATTACAATTAATGTTGAAGATTTTATTGAGTAGAATAGCGATCTAAAGGATTGGTCAGGATTTGATGGATGATTGGATATATAAATTATACTAATATTATTCCAGGGTTTCTGCGTTTACCGTTGCGTAGGTGCACGCAGCTGCGATCCGCGTCCTCTTCTTCTCGTCTATTCCTTGTTCCGAGTCGACTTTGCGGTTTCTTCGGCTCGTCCCCGCGCGAGAGGAAATCATTCACGGAGGTTATAAAAGAAATGCTCACTTCCTTGACGGCGCGAAACGAGGGAAATATCTTTGCAGAATGTTTACCACAAGGGGAATGAAAAAAAAGAATCACTTCACCGAGGTCATTGAAACTCCACTTAGGGTCGCGATATGTGCCCATAATTATGAAAGTGGTCTGAGTCAAAATTAAAAAAAAAAAATGAGTTTATCAGTTATTTCACGCCATATTATTTCAAACGAAATTAATTCAATGTAATTTCGAAACAAAAAATATATGACTTAGACCACTTTCATAATTATGGGCACATATATCAATGTATGAAATTTCTGGGAGGAAACTCTTCAATGCGATTATTTTCAATGAAAGTTGGCTATCGGGTCGATTTTTGGAAGGAAGTTCCAGATCCTCCACCCGGAGACTATCGTTAGATTTGTTCAGAAAAGGCGTCACGTTTGCCGGATAATATTTTCCTAGAAATGTTTGACTCTTCTAATAAAATGGAAAAAAAAAAAAAATAGTAGGTAGGATCCGGTTAAACAACCGGGATTTCGGTTCGTTCAGCTTGAGATTCTTTTTTCCTCCTGCTGGAAGTTTTTGTCGCTTCGACTTCTCGCCTTCCGCGGCTCATCTCTTCATCTCGTCATCTCGTCTCCTGACAGATCACTGGTCCACGACAAAGCTTCGCTCCCGGCAGCTTCCCTGCCACCCACCGTTCGCCTTTTGTTAATGGATTCAGGCACGATGACTATATACCCAGCAGGAGTTTCCAATCACCTCGGGAGGTCCCTCGATAGATTCAGGGATTCGCTTTCGACGCGACGAGGTCGCGAGATCGATCGATCGATCTCCGATCGGACGCGGATCGACGACGGCCGATCCGAGAGTCGCGCATTACGTTTCTCATGACTCACGAATTCCTGTAGCCTCGAGTCCCACGACTCCTCGGCGGAGTCAATGTCGATGCATCGTTGCATCGGTGCACCGGTGCATCGACTCGTCCGGTTCTCACCTAAGAGCCCATCTCGGGCGATCGAGAGAAATAGCGAGCGCCGTATTTCTTTTTTTTTTCCTCTCTTCCTTCATTTTCTTCCCTTATGCGGCGATTGCCCGTGTCCATTTCCTTATTCACGGTGTCGCTCGCACTTGTCGCACACCGGTGGCGCAATTGCACAGCCTCGTCAAAAGTTGCACTCCCTGCCGGCTGCAGTTTTAGCGCGGCTCTCTCGACCTACCAGGCCGATTCCTTGGCACCCACGCTTGGCTTTCCTTATTCGTCTGACCTTATTCGGACACCTTCTCCTTCTCCTTCCCTGCTCCCCCGTCGCCCACTTTCCGCCCCTCGCCGCCCCTTTCCTCTGCTGCACCGGATAAAGGTCGGTACCCGCGAGTCCACTACGCCCTGAGAGTGCGGTCCTAATGCAACCTGGGAAATCCAGATTCATAGAAAATCTTGAAAAAATTCCCTCGAGTTTCTCCCACATACATGTACATAATATCTTTATAAATCGTATCTATAAGTTGCGCATTTTTTTTTTTTATGTCGAACCGCGGAACCCTTGCCTCCTCTTTGCTCTGCTGCACCGGATAAAGGTCGGTACCCGCGAGTCCACTACGCCCTGAGAGTGCGGTCCTAATGCAACCTGGGAAATCCAGATTCATAGAAAATCTTGAAAAAATTCTCTCGAGTTTCTCCTACATACATGTACATAATATGTTTATAAGTCGTATCTATAAGTTGCGCATTTTTTATTTTTTTTATTTTTTATGTCGAACCGCGGAACCCTTGCCTCCTCTTTGCTCTGCTGCACCGGATAAAGCTCGGTACCCGCGAATCCCCTGCACCCTGAGAGTGCGGTCCTAATGCAACCTGGGGAATAATCCACATTCGTAGAAAATCTTTAAGAAATTCTCTCGAGTTCCTGCTACATACATATACATAATATCTTTATAAGTCGTATCTATAAGTTGCGCATTTTTTTTTTTTTTTTTAATATAGAAACGCGGATGGAGAAGTTTACGGGAGATCTCTGATAGATTTCTTGTCGTTTCCCTTGGTTTTTTCGTTTTCCTTTTTGCATCGAGCATAAATTCGGATATCACTCGCCTCACTCATTGAAATATATGTATCTGCTTTTCCCTTTCACGCAGCACTGGAAATACGTCAAGGTAGGATCCACGAGCCCCCGAAGAATCCCGGCAAGTGCGACTAGCCGACCCGCTAATTCGACGGACCCCGGGAGGAGAATCCACGATTCGGCGGGACTCGAGACGCCCTTTTAAAGGGAACTCTCGATATACCTGAAAATTATGGACGGCGAACGAAGGCGATCAGCTGATCCGACCGGACTCGCGTATTCTCCTCTCGGTCCACTTTCCCGACTCGTCACCTCCGATTCCTCCGTTTCTCTCTTCGTAGAGGAAGAGGAGGAACTGGTCGGGCTCTTTTTATGTCCCTGGACCCTCGCAACACTCGAGATTTCCTGGAGGCGCACTTGAGCGACGGTAGTCGCGGGTACAGGTGCGGAATCCGCGCCTTCTGCATTTTCTGCATTTTCTGCGGGAGCCTCGATGCACTTCTCCCGAAGTGCAGCGTCGTGGTATAGGAAATTGTTACACTGTTAATATCCAAGTATAACATTATACACGTTTTTTCGAGGTACGATATCTCCGAAGTTTCGTATTGGAATTGTGTCTCGGGATTTTATTACGCGATTAAAATTACCTAGAGTGCACTTCGATGCAGTCTGCGTCGCGATTCCCGGCAGGTCTCGAAATATCGAGGGTGCAGCTGCAGGGAAATCTGTGTTTCGTCTATTCTCGGATGAAAAGGAGGTGTAAAATTGTTTAACGAGAGTGTTGACCGTCGCCTTGCCCCGACCCCTGCCAGGTGGAGGTTCACTCTTGTTCTTTAACGTTTCAGACCTACACGTGCCTACACGTGTGCGTTGTCGTGAACAACCAGCCGTGCTGTTCCCCCACCGTAAGTTGACGGATTCCCTCTGTCCGAGTCGTGTGATCGTTTCCCATGGACGTAGGACACGTGGACCCTGCACTCCTGACTTGATCTCGCCCATTACCTGGATATTAAAAAAAAAAAAAAAATAAATACATAAACGGTGGAAATGAAAGAAAAAAGGCAATCATGCCTCTCTTAGTCTACTTTCATAGTGCGGTCCTTCATAAATTGGTTCACGGTAAAAACCACGTTCGAGATTGCACTTATTTTTCCAATATTAATATTCCACAAAAAATATCCGGTATACTTTCAACCAGGAAAAAAAATTTGCGGGGCATATTTAATCCGGCCCGATAAAATAGTGTTTTTATTTTTCATTTTTTTTTTAATAATAACTGCACTTTTTTGAATTCTTTCAAGTCTATAAGACAGATGTTGCGACTCGGACTTGTTCATAATATTCAATGACGGTTTCAATGACGTCCGGAATTACGATGAAAATTAGTAAGAATGAAAAATGGAATGTAAATGAATTGATAAAGTGCGAGGGGAGAAGAGTAGCCTCTCCGTAATTGATTAGCTTTAATTTTTACCGTCTTCGGATCATTCTGAGATCCGAGTGCGAGGTCCGGGCATCCTGCGTCCTTCTTCCTCCCGTTTGGTGTTTCCCTGCACGAAGAGGTGCACGCTGTCTGCATCCTGTACCGCTTGCAGTTTGGTTTTTTTCGAGATATCCGAAAGCAATTCTCGCAACAAATCCTTGGAGGGATTTCCTTTTCTTTTTCTTTTCTCGCTTGCACGCAAACGTACGCGCCCGCGAGAGAAAGAGAGAAGGACGGTCCCTGAAGAGCGGAACGCGCTCGAGGCCTAGATGTGTTACGTTTACGGCGTTTAAGGCGTTTATGGCGTTCATGGCGTTTACGTCAGTAGCAAGTTCCTCGCTAGTTGTGCCTCCCATAGTCGTTGGACTTGCGAAATTCGAGGTCGGCCGTGACTAACTCGATCTTTCGCTTCCAGGCGAGCAGACATGTCGGGGACCTGTTCGAGGACCTGCGGGACGGGCACAACCTCATCTCCCTCCTGGAAGTGCTTTCCGGCGAGCACCTCGTAAGTGTCTTGGACCGATCCCAGGAGTACTCGGGACGACCTCGAGGACTCCGCTCGAGAGCGGGACCTCAATCCTTGGACTTGTTCTTTCAGCCGAGGGAGAGGGGCCGAATGCGTTTCCACATGCTGCAGAACGTCCAGATGGCGCTCGACTTCCTGCGCTACAAGAAGATCAAGCTGGTCAACATCCGCGCCGAGGACATCGTCGACGGCAACCCTAAGCTCACTCTCGGCCTCATCTGGACCATCATCCTCCACTTCCAAGTGAGTTCGACGCCGGGGCGTCCTCTCTTAAGGTCGGCTTGGACGCGAGGAAGGGTGTTCGGGCGCATGCGCAGTCGGGGATTCTTTCACTTTTTCAATACCAAGAGATGGTTAACGCGTTAAGGCGTCATGAAAGTGTCATACGTATATCAAATTGGGTGCACCAAATAATTTCAAACTTTAACATATGTTTATGGAGGCCTTGAATCTCGCGAAATGTCATTTTTCGAAGAAAAAAAAATACTTTTTTGGGTTCTCCGAGATAAATAAACAATTTTTTTTTTTAATTTTGCGACTTTCAAGACCTTCTTCGGGACCTCCTTGGTCAAATTGAAGAATTTCAACAATTTTTAATATTTGGTACGCACGGTTAGGGGAAAAAAAAAATAAGGGGGGTTTCAGGGAAGAGATTCGTAACGAGCCAAGTTTCATGCCGCCTTAAGGCGGGGAATTTAAAAATTGAAACGCGTGAAGCGATCTACGTGAATCCAGGGGCTGTGAGGACGTTTAGAGCGAGTTTTTTTTAAGCCCTTCCTCGCGATCCGTCTTCGCTCGCAGGACGAAATCGCGCCCAAGGTATTTGCCGTCTCGGTCGTGGAGGTCCGTGGATAAACGTTCCCACTCGGAGACCCTTGACATGGCTATGGGTAAATAGCCTTTCCGTATGTGGCACATGGCCGGGGACGGAGGAGGGACGCGTTTTAAATTCGCCGCGGGTTCCGATCGGCGGGCAATCCGCACGCGCGCCGCGCCTTTTTCTCCGCGCGACACGCGCGACGTCTCTCCCCTGTTCGCAAAGTCCTCCTCGGTTCCTCCGGAACCGATTTTCACACCTTTATCCCGATCTTGCGACACTTTATTTCAACTCTTTGGGCATGGACCGCTCGCCGATGATTTTTTCCCAATTTTCCCCGATTTTCCACGACTTTCTGGAGGCTTTCCGGCGCCGGAGGGGATTTGATAAAAACGCCGCGTCGCGGCCTGATAAGAAAATAACCCATTGCTGTCAACATTTCTTCTGACATTCGCGCATGTAACTTGTCTAAAAAGAGAATTTCATGAATTTTCTATCACTCAGATCCTGATAAAAAAAAAAGTCAGTCCATTACCGTCGACATGGGCGCTCGTCATTTTTCTAAAAAGAGAATTTCATGAATTTCCTATCACTCGGATCCTGATAATGAAAAAAAAGTCAGTCCATTATCGTCGACATTGGCGCTCGTCATTTTTCTACAAAGAGAATTTCATGAATTTCCTATCACTCAGATCCCGATAATAAAAAAAAAAAAGTCAGTCCATTACCGTCGACATGCTCGTCATTTTTCTACAAAGAGAATTTCATGAATTTCCTATCACTCGGATCCTGATAATAAAAAAAAAAGTCAGTCCATTACCGTCAACATGGGCGCTCGTCATTTTTCTACAAAGAGAATTTCATGAATTTCCTATCACTCAGATCCAAATAATATAAAAAAAGTCAGTCCATTACCATCAACATGGGGGCTCGTCATTTTTCTACAAAGAGAATTTCATGAATTCTGAATGGTAAAGGGAGGGATCGACCCGATAAGTGGTTACTGCAGGGCAACCTCGTTCCCCGGGGGGTCGCGATTTATAACGTTTCCCGCGGATTTTCCGCAGGAGACGGCTCTCTGTGGCAAAAGGGCGCCGATAAAGGGACGGCTGTTGCGGCGCGTCGGCGCGTCGGTGCGTCGGCGCCGGGAGCTCGCAAAAAAAGCTGTCCTAACCGAGTTACGCCGCAGTTGCATGAAGGCGGGCAGTGTTCCGGCCAGGTCACCGTGTAGCAAAACGTATCTTCCGTATCTCTCGTATCTCTCGCCTCTTTCGTCTCGACGCTCGGGGAAGAGGAGGCCGTCTCGTCCGGGAATTCGAGATCGATGCGCTCTTCCTCCTCCTTCGCGCTCTCCTCGAGTCTTCCCGTCTCTTCGCTTCTCGAAAAAAAAAAAAAAAAAAAAAAAAAAAAGGAACGAATCCCTCCCGATGGATGGACTCCTTTTTTTTCCCCCGTAAAGATACAAATTTACCACTTCTTCGACGGCAACCCCTGCACCGAGAAAGACGTCTCATTGAACCGGAGAAATGTTTCCTTGAGAGAATAATACCAGAAAGATATTTCTTTGGATATTTCTTCGAAGAATAATCGTTTGACTCGAATTAATTCGAATAAATTCTCCCAATGAATTATCAAACTCGGCGGGTGGCGGAGACGTATGAAGGAGCTGCCACGATGGTCTCGCACGCAGAAGTTCATTGATAGTTTTGATACCGAGATTAGACACCGATAACACCGGCACTGTAAACCGCTTATGCGATCACCGCCACATAGTGGAGGGGGCACGTATCTTGCACTCGATGCCGGAAGCTACGTTTCTTTGATTTCACCGCTGACATTGATTTGCTGCTTCTGCATTTTGGCGTCCGGTAACGTCGAGTTCCGCCTCAGGGTTTCCTCGACCTTTTACGTATACCGGAGGTGATAACGATGACGAATCATAAATCGGGCTGAAATTTTTTTTATAAAAAAAAATTCCTTTTCCCTTCTCGTTCGGTCTGGAACGACCATTGTCATGTATCGAGTGGCGATTGTAATTAATTACCAAGGGCACATTTCATTGATAAGCGCCCTCGATACCGCCTGAGAGTTTCTTCGATTTTACGTATACCGGAAGTAATGCCGATGACGAATCATAAATCGAGCTGAAATTTTTTATAAAAAAAATGTCTTCCTTTTTCTTTCGGCCTGGAACGACCAATGTCAGATATCGAGTGGCGATTGTAATTAATTAGCGAGGGCACATTTCATTGATAAGCGCCCTCGATACCGCCTGAGAGTTTCTTCGATTTTACGTATACCGGAAGTAATGCCGATGACGAATCATAAATCGAGCTGAAATTTTTTATAAAAAAAAATGTCTTCCCTTTTCGTTCGGCCTGGAACCACCAATGTCATGTATCGAGTGGCGATTGTAATTAATTACCGAGGGCACATTTCATTGATAAGCGCCCTCGATACCGCCTGAGAGTTTCTTCGATTTTACGTATACCGGAGGTAATGACGATGACGAATCATCGGCCTGAAATTTACTTGGAATATATTTTTTTTTTTGGCTTCTCGTGCGACCTGGACTGACCAATGGCGCGGATGTCGAGTTGCGGTTCAATTTAATTAGCGAGGGCATTTAATTGATAAGCGCTCTCGATGTCGACGTACACGTGTAGTGGTGGACGCGGTGCCGTCATTGTATGTGTCACTGGATATACGTGTATATATGGGACGCTGACACGCGTGTGTGTACACCTGTACGTGCGTGGGTATCGAGAAGGATAAAACGGCTTCCAAATTCGGCGCCGGCCGCAAATTGGAGAAAGCAGGGTCGCGCTAATGTTTTCTTCTTCGTTCGTTTTTTGGCTTCCTTTTTACGTCCCTTTTTTCCTCCTCTTTTTTTTTCTTCTTTTTTTCCTGGCAAGCGGGTTACAGTAATGACGGTCATTCCGCGGCGGCGCGGGGCTTCTGATCAGGCTGAAAATGGTCACTGCGAGAGCTCGTCGCGTCATTCGATTCCGGTGGGGGCTGGGGAATAAAAAAAGAATGCAAGGACCGCGAACGGGAAGAAGAGGATGTTGCGAAAGGAACCGCCATTGGAGATGATTCGACTCCGCTTAATTAAAAAGAGTCTTCTTCATAATCTACGTCAGGCCGCGCCCCTCGTTTCATTCCCCTCCTGGGATCCGAATTTCTAGTACATCCTTGAGAAATTGATGAGATGTCTCTAAAGTATTTAGAAGGAAAATATATATAACGATCTTTGTAATTTAGGGGATAATGAGGCCCGAGTGAAAAAAGAAAAAACGATCTCGCGACCGTCCGGCATTAAATGGTCCAATTCGTGATTTCCGTTGTTTCGATTTCGTTTTCTCACGGGAAACGTTAGGTCGTTCCAAAAACTCCGTCATTTTCCGGCGAGATGTGATGTCTGTGGAAATGGACGAAACTTTTGGAGGGATTTAATGAGTCCTCGATGTCCCGGGTTTACTCGGCGACCCTGAGTAAAGAGGGACATCGAGTCCCGACATTACCTCGGCAAAAGAGGTGCGATCTAATCGTGGAAATCTTTTTCTTTTGCGCCCCAGAGATGGCGACGCAAGGTAAGTTTTCGCAGCCTTTCCCTGTATTTAGAGGCCGGCCGACCCGCCGGAGCCGCCGTCCGCGCGGCGCGAGCTCCCGGCCGCGACTGGCGCGAGTCCTCGCTTACCGGCCGCGCGCTGCCTTTTACCGACCCCCCTCGCTCGCCTCGCTTACTTCCAAAGCGCAGCATGGATGGCGCCACCTGCACCGCCTGCATCGCTCGCTCCCCCGCAATCGCTGCTCGACCGTCGACCGAGATGCCACGTGGCCGCTCCTCGCCCACCTGTCGAATCATCGACGATCGCTTTTTAAGTGACATAGGAACCTCGTTGTTTTTCCAACCTTAGCTTCAATAAAAAAAATTAGAGGGTGCCGTAAAATGCAGTAGAGGAGCGTCGGGTAGATCTTGACGAGTAAGTCCAGCATGCCTCCGTGATTGAGAACCACCTTATCTAGATTCTTTTCCTATTTAGAAACTGGACAAGTGCAGGCGTTTCTTTACCCCATGCGTTGATTAACTTTTCATTTGGGAGTAGTTAAGGACGCTTGAAATGCTCTCCCGGCAGAGGGCGCGACGCGCGGCGAAAAATGGCGGAGGACGCGCGCACAACGGTGTTCCTTTTGTCGGTCAAGGCGACATACCTCGACGCGACGCGCAATCCTAATGAACGGACTGTCGTAACAGCCTGTCGCGCGAACAACTCGTCGGGAATTTCGCAAGGGCCTTTTTTTCTTTTCCTCCTTTTCCCCCATTTTTTTTTTTTTTTCGAGCCACCCCCTGAGATCGAATCGCGCGCGCATTCTATACGTATCCGTATCAGCGACGCAAGGACGCTAGGAATACAATCGGCAC